AGAACATACAAAAAAGACAACACTTCAATGAATCAGATAAACTTTATAAATGAGCACACTGATCAAACAAACAACAAGCAAACGAACGATCGCTCAAATCGCTCACAGGAGAAGATGGATGTGTCTTCAAATCAAACGTATACATATCCATCAACTCCCAAACAAAAATAATACAAATGTCAACCTTCCAGTTGCAACACAACGAAATTGGATCAAAAAAAGTCATCGCACTGCAAATATCATCCCATTCCTTCCGATATCAAACACCACATTCTAAATATCGCTACTAAAACGAACATCTCAACTCAATACATATTGTCAACACCCGAACATCACCGCACAAAATACACGTGACGTTGATCCAATCGAAACATAATTCATCAACAATGTACCATATTTTTCCATTATGAATTGCAATCAATCATTATAACAACCAATTGCATACATTACAAACGAACTAATCAAATCATCACACGTTCAAGTACCAGATTAACGAGTCGTGTAACGATAACGACAACAAACTGAATCNATCGTTACCCTCGCTGTTACTTTTATCAAAATTGACCTGATCAATAATCTAAAATCTAGAAATACGCAAAAACTATCGCCCTTCAAGCCAAGGCACTCGTTGTCTTCAATAGGTAGTCGTCTATCTCTATCAAACACAAAAATCAAAAAATTGCTTTCATTTTTATGAAGAAATATGAAATTGAGTTAATAGTTCTCCTAATGAACCAATTCAAACGCTTCATTTGTATCCGTTGAAACGCAATCCGGACTGCAGTCCACAAGACTAACCACCTAAACCGCACAAAACATCACTGTTGCATTGGTTCTGCACTGTTGCCATTTCTTTGCGTTCGCTCCGGCGATACACGAGCTGACATATCGTTTTCATCTGTTTCTCCAGTTCGCTGCTCTCTCGTTTTTGATGTGTTCAACTTCCAAATCTTTAAAAAAATTAAGTTCCCATTGAGACAAAGTTTTTCCTAACCACTGGATGGCACTTTTTTGTGGCTGAGCGCTAGTTAAAGGAATAGATTGGTTAATTCATTGAGTCTCGTTGAACTGAACGATCAAATTGCCTTATGCCAGAATTACGAAACAATAAAAATTCTCCAAATTATGCGTTTTTTCAGTTAAATTCTCGAATGCGGAGAAGTGACATACCTGAATATAGGACTCAGCAAGTGTGATCATTTGAGGAAGTATTTCTTTCACGTGCAAATCCTCCAGTTCGTACCACTTTTGTGAACCCTATAATTCTTTTTTTTTATTACCATTACGGTTAAAAGATATATGTTATATAAAACAAACTCGCCAGATGTGAAAATATATCGCACCCCTTCAAATTACATCGCAAGTTGTTAAAACTACTTCAGATCAAATAGAGATTCAGTGCAATTGCTGATCAACTAAAAACAACTCACATTATGAATAAGTTGTATTCGATAAGCGCCTGATTCAGGCGGTCCATCGTGCACAATATTCGATACCAGGTCATATGTTGTGTACTTGTAATTGGCACGCGACGATTCCGCCAAACACTCGTACAGATCAACATTACTGAACATGTAAACATGAGACAATTCATTCATTTCACAAAAATTCATCCATTTCCAATAGTTCTCACTCGAACTCTCATAGAATATATTCCTCAGAACACACCATAACACCAGTCGAACATAATCTTGTTGATGGAATTGCGTCAGCTAAGGAGAAAAAGATTATTTTTAAAGAGTCAAATCAAAAACTGTTCCATCCCAAAACACAAAACAATCCAAGTCCTGGCACGAACCTGATAGGAAAGTTCACAATTGTTGGATTCTTTTCGATAAACCACTGATTCTTATGGAAACGTTTATACATAATGATCAGATACGGTGGCAGACGTGTCAGTTCGAAACGTTTCATGAAATTCTCATTATACGTTTTATATTCCTGCAAAAAAAAA